CTCGGCGCAGGTCCATGGCGGGCACTCGCCCGAGCATCACCCAGAAAAGCCCCGTGTGTCCCCTCTGCCCCCCCGGTGGTGCTCAGGCATGAGGTGGAGGCACCCACGGGGATGGGGGATAACGAACGGCTGCTGGGGAGCAGAGGGGAGGGTGGTCCTGCTGCTGGCACCCTGGGCTCGTGCTGCGTGCCGCTGTCCCCCCACGGGCCCCCGTCCCTTACCTGCAGGTTGATGCGCTCCAGCAGCTCATGGAGGGTCTTGGGCTTGAGCCGCTTGCTCTTGCTGGAGCCCCGGCTCTTGCGGGCAGGGGCCATCTCCTCGGGGATGACGTCCACGTAGATGAACTTGAAGGAGCCCACCCTGTTATTGAGCAGCCCGGTCCAGGTGCCCATGGGCAGCTTCTCGATGATGCCGATGACGTCCCCTTTCTGGGCCAAGGGAGATGGGGGTGGAGGTGGGAGCAGGCTCGGGGAGGGGCTGGGGACACCCCCCTCCTGAGTGTTCCCCAGCCACCCTCCCTCCCCAGGACCCACACCCCGGTCCTGCCCTTCACCCCCGCTCTCCCCAGCCCCGGGCTGGCCGTGGTGTGGCTCACCCAGAGCTTCAGCGAGTCCTTGTCGTAAGGGCTGGGTGTGAAGTCGGTGTGGACGCGGGCCCGGCCGCAGAAGGGGCCGGTGTAGGCTGGACCGCTCTCCTCCAGCCGCAGGCTGTCCCGGTTGCTGCCCCCAGGGCTGGGGCTGGAAACTTCGCTGCCTGTGGAGGGTAGGGAGGTCAGGATGTGCCCGGCTGTGGGGTGAGGGGCCGGGGTCCTGCCGGGGCCAGGCTCACCGCTGGACAGCTGGCGGCTGATGGATGGGTGCCCATCTTCCTCCATCTCCAGGTAAGACAGGGGTACCTTTTCGTGGCTCGGCTCCTCCGTGCTGCTGGCTGGGGACAGGGGGCACAAGGACCCATCCTCCTCCGCGTCTCCCTGCTGGGGGGACCAGGATCAGGCCAAGGGAGGGGGAGCTTCCCCCACCTGCCCGGGGCCCCCACTCACCTTCCCCTCGGCTAGGGCTTTCACGGCCAACCTGCCCATCTTGCGGTTCATGGTGCGGGAGATGACAGCCCGCCACTTCTTGCCCAGCTTCATCCCGCTGCTCCGTGCAGCATCATCGGGGCCGGTGCTGCTGGACTCATCCTCGGGGATCTGGCAGAGGGATGGAGAGTGAATTCTGCTGGTGCTGGAACCCCTGGGGCTGCCCCACAGCACGTGGGCCACCAGTAGGACCAGGAGTTCGGGGAAACAGGCTCTGAAAAGGTCTGTGCCCTGCGGGAAGGTGGTCCCAGGGGAGTGGGACGTGGCAGGGGGTGCTGCAGCCCCGCAGGGGGCCGGGCACTCACGTTCTCCTCCAGGCTGAACTCCTTCTCACTCAGCACGGGGGAGCTGACTTTGGACTTGGCGAAGTCCTTGAAGCTGCTGGAGCGCTGGAGGGAGAGCTGGGGCAGACGGAAACGTGTGAGGGCTTCTCCCTGCGCACCCCCCC